GCACTGTAACCACTACATCACACAATTCCCACCTAGTAACTAAGAGTCGATGGAGATGGTAGAGTTTAGGAAACCGTTGTGCACACCCCAGTGTAGATACCTCATCATTTCAGACTTAGAGCCTATTCTGAACTACTTGTTCAGTATTTGTCTTTTTGTTCAGTTCCAAATAAACTCCAGCAAACTTCTGATCTGATTAAGGGGAGGGGGGGGGAAATATATCAGAGTTTTGGATGGAAGTTTGGTTTTGGACTCCCCTACTGGGAGTCACTTGGGAGGTTCTTAAGTTCAGTTCCTTTATTTAAAAACACGACACCAAACACAGAACACTTCGAAATAAACCCAGTTTTGTATTTGTATTAGACTCCAGCTTGATACATTCCTAGAATTACAGAGGACAATCGGTGGCGAACCGCACCACCGAACTCATCAATCAGAAACGGCCAGAGGGCGAGGAAGAGGTGATGGGACATTAGGACATTTTGCTACCCCACAACAAAGCCCGCCCCCTCCAGAAAAGTCAGACATAAATAAATGGAGAGATGCCCTAACAGGTATTCTCACCGGGACGCTACAGGAGAAATGTTCATGTGCCAATCTGAGATGGCAGGGGAGGGTAGAGTGCAGGACAGAGAGAGGTTAACCCTGAGTTACGGGAAAAGGGTGCTTTCGAAAGGGGGGGGGGAGACACACACAGACATCTGAAATGAAATGGCAATGTGACTGGTGGAGAAGAAAAAGAAGGGGGAGGATAGGGCAGGGGGAAAGAGAAGGAAAAGGTAATTCATTCCGGTCATTAAACACAGGGCTATTTTTGGGCAGGAACGCACAGGAACGGAGTTCCGGCTGGCTCTTGAGTTGGCCACGCCCAGCAGGAGCTCATTAGCATAACAGGCCACACCCAACAGCAGAAACTCATTAGGATTGGCTACATTAGGGGTATGAGTTACTGCTACAAAAAAAGGCCCTGGGTTTTGACAACAAACAAGGTAAAAAGAAGCAGCAGCAAAAGGTGGGTGTGGCTGAATGACCACACTTCTGGTAACATGGGGGTGTGGCCTAATATGCTAATGAGCTGTGCTATCGTGGGGTGTGGCCTAATATGCTAATGAGTTTCTGCTGTTGGGCATGACCTATTATGCTAATGAGTTCCTGCTGGGCTTTTTCTACAAAAAGAGCCCTGATTAAACACAACTAAATCTTGTATGTTTTCCATCCTCCGACAGCTCCCAGTGGTGCCCCATCTAGGCTACGACCAGCTAAAGTGTTTTTGACATTTCATTAAGAAAGGGCACCTTGACGCCACAGGGGATTCTGGGGCACTTTCTCCGTCTCTCCAGGGAACCAGCCCACACAGCAGAAGCAGCCAGGGTTGCCAGCTGCAGTTGGGGAAGCTTCGGAAAATTTGGGGAGGGCAGGTACCTCAGCAGGGTAGAATGTCTGAAGCAGCCATTTTCTCCACGGGAACTGTTCTCTGGAGTCCGGAGATCAGTTGTAATTCTGGGAGATCTCCCGGTGCCACCTGGAGGCTGGAACCAAAATCTGCACACCAACTCCCCTTTAAACTGTGCAGCACTAATGGGGCTGCTTCAAATGGTTGCACCAGGTCTGATCCATACCAGTTTAGCTCCAAAGCAACGCTACAGTGCTAGGCAAGCACAAGCACCAGAACTGAAGTTAAAGAACAATGTTCCTTGCAAATGGAAATTTCCTTGGATATTCCGGTGTCACCATTGGTCCTCTGACCAGCCAGGCAATCCCCACTCTTGACCTCCCCCCCACCTCTGCAGTGCAGACCGGCCAGAGGCCTTTGCAGGCCCAACACCAGTGCATTGTGGGAGTAGATGGACAATTGGTCCACCGTTGCTATGGTACCACACAGAAGGGTTTGAAGGAATTCTAGTCTCTGCAGGCTTGCTCACACACCTGAAAAACACTGCTTGCTGAGCAGCTGTCTATCCAAAATATCCTACAACACTCTCCATCTTACCATGGATACTAAGTGGCAGGGAGTTCCACTGACAAATGGACAGCTTGTTAGTTTTGAAGGATCACAGCACGGTCCCGATGAATAAGTGAGGTAGATGCCGGCACTGGACGGAGTCTGAAACAACCCATTAAAAATCTCATATGAAAAGAAATGTAGGATTCACAGCTATGAGGAGCATTCTAGCTTTGCTTTTTTTAAAAATAAAATAAAAAATTATCTAAATGCTACAAAGTTACTGCTTGTTCCTGTGTCAGGGAGACCCACAGGCAAAACAGTGTATTTCACTGCCTTCATGACTCATTACTTAACACCTCTAGAGTACTTCCTATATGCATCAAGTGCTCAGTCATTTGAAAGAGGATGGCGTGGTCCAACTTGAAATGGTGAGGTAGATGTTGGCACTGGAGGCTTGCTCAACCCAAAACTCTACTGGGACGGGGAATACCTGTGACAAATCTAAAAATGAACAAAAAATACTATGAGATGGAGACGTCCAGTCCAGTGTCCGGTTACAAGGAAGTAAGACCCACTTGACTGAAAGGAACTTATTAGGGTCCTACAGCAAGTATGCTGAGATCTAGAAAGCATAGCTCATTAAAATGTGTCCAGTAGATCCTGGTTTTGTTGTTGTACTCCCCAAGAAATCTATTTCTGATTGCCACTGAGTTTCATTTAGCAGAGCTAAGGGAAGGGCATAAGATGAAACTGATTATGCAGTCGGGGGTAGGAGATGAAATCCACCCTACCAGGATCACAGGGATAATCCATCCATTCCTATATCCCATCTCCATCAGCAAACACTTCTAAATGCTACAGAGAAAGCCATAAGGCCAGACTGATGTACATCCGTCTCTTGAACTTCTTTCTCAGCCACCTTTATGAAATTGCATTGATGTTTTGTATCTAACTGCTCATGCATTTGCCTTCCCTTAAAAAAGGCCATGCTATCTAGGGAAGAAAACAATTTCCCTGCTACTGGTTTCCTCAACAATTCACCTTACATTGTTGGTGAATCAACTTCTTACAAATGTTTTGGGTAACAAAAGTACCTCTGCACATCCCTCAAAAATTGAAAATGGTAGTACTGGAAGCTTAATGAACAAATATGGGTTCTACTTAGGATGGCCAAGTGACCTGGAAAGAAGTATCTCGTCCCATTAATGGAGGATTAATGCATTGAAATGGGTAATAAAACTTTTCACAGCATGGAGGTAAACAACATCTCATTAAGTCTCCATTAAAGGGAGGAGACATTTTTCCCCTGGGCCAATCGGCAACCCTAGGCCAAATGCTGCCCAGAGCTGTGGTAAATCTAGGTGAGAGGGCCAGCAAGAGTCCCTTTCCAATCTCACTTTCTAGAATCTTCTTTACTCCTTAGACCAAGGGTCCCCGAGTGTTTTCAGAAAGTGGGCGGCAGCCAGGTGGGGCTCTTGCCCAGAATGGCTTCTGATTGGCCACTGAAGATCTGATTGGCTGTGCACATTAAAATAAGGTTGCTTTGGTGGCAGCGACCACTGCAGCGTTGCTATTATTCTCTCTCTCACTTCTCCTTCCCAGGATATTGTTTAAATTACCCCTCTTGTTCCCTGCGCTTCGACTTTCTCTGAGCGTTCGTGTTAGGCTTGCCAAGTCCCTCCCGGGGGGAGAGGCCCATTACCCGCCACTGGCGGATTGGGCTCCGGGGGAACCCAACCCCCAAAGCACGGAACATGCCCGGCGTCAGCACGTCACCCAGAGGTGATGTGATCACATCGGGCACGTTGGGGGCGGGGCCACAATAATCCGAGGGAAAACTCTATGTTTTTCCCTAAGATGATTGTGGCCCCGCCCCCAACGTGCCCGACGTGATTGCGTCACTTCCGGGTGATGTAATTGCGCACACACATGGACTCCCAGACCAGCGCCGGACTCCCCCGCTCTTCATAAGGTAAGGACTTGGCAACCCTAGTTCGTGTAGCCCCACGTCCCGTGTCGGCCATTTTGTGATTGTGCCCACAGCCCTGTGTCGGAATTCCAAAGGTGCCCTCAGGCTCAAAAACACTAGGGACCCCAGCCTTAGACTTTACTTCAAGAAGGTGGAAGGCACAACATGTTTGGGACTCACTCCTGTTCCCCCCTGGGATGAAAGTCTCTCCAGAGCCATGCCAAGGGAAAGAAAGAGACAGGGAAAGCTGAAGTTCAGAACATGAAAGCTACCATCAGTATTTTCCTAGTGTGGTCAACCGATGTCATTTGGTGAGCAGTGAGAGATTCAGATGAAGTTTTGTGACCAGAGTGGCAGAAGACCGCCATTTTGTGAGGGAAAAGGGGAATTCCCTTAATCCAGAGAAATAACTCCCTGCTCAGACCTTCCCACAAGTACATACACAGTGCAGCAGCTTTTCGAGAAAACACACCGGGGATCCAGTGGGAGGGGAGAGGGAAGAGAGAGTTTGGAAGACTGGGCCCCCTGCCCCCCCTTGTTTCCGGCACTGTCACCTGCACGCACACTCCTCCCAAAGCAGTTGCTCCCCCCTGACCGTGACCCACATTCTGGACAGCACCCCCACACTGGCCTTCAGTTCTTGATCATCCCACCCTAAAGGTTTGGGGAGCTGGGGGTGGGGGGGACACACAGTGTGTTTCTGTGTACGTGTCACGCGAAACCCAGGAAATGAGAAGCAAAACAAAAAGTGCATTCTGAGATGGGTGGACTCACTCCATATTTTGCTGGTTTAAAAAAAAAAAAAAATTGTAACGGCCTCTCGCCCTGCATTATTTTCTACGACTTCACACACACGTCCTAACTCTGTCCAAGTGCACACCCCATCCTAATAATAATAATGTCAGTAATACCTTCTTCTCCGTCTGGGGCACGTCTCAACCCTTGGGCCACCCCACGGCCCGCAGTGACGTCCTCCTGCCCGCCCCCCCACCTGAACATGCTCTCAGCATTCCGGGGAAGAGGGACTCTCTTGCGTCCGCCCCTTCGTCTCTTGAGAACCGACACGTCTCACAGTTCTGACACAGATCAAGGTTTCTCTGCTGTGTGGTTCTGGAGGTGCCGCAGCAACATTGAACTGTTCCTGGATATTTTCCCAGCTTCAGGATGCGCTATGTATCTGCCCCTATCCTGTTGCGCGTGGCGGTGGGCCAGCGCATTGCCAGCACCAGAAGCTTTCCCCAAGTCAAGGTGAAAGTAGGGAGGCTCTGTCAACTCCGAAACATCGCCTGAGTTTTGTTTTCTGTCCGCTCCGTGGTCCTTCAGCCGTTGGGATGCACCCCTTTCGGAGACGGGGGTCCCCCTCTGCAAAAGGATGGCCGAGATCTCTGTGAAGCTCTCCCCAAATTCCAGAGGGCTCCCGCGGCCTCTCTCCTTACCACGGTGGTTTTTCGTCTGCTTTCGCACCCCCTTGAGTTTCTCTGCAGTGTGTTCCATCTGGTGCCGGATCAAAGCAAGCCTGTCAGGGAAGCTCACGGCACACTCTGGACACTTCAGCAGCTTGTCCTTCATGTGGCCAATCTGGTGGCGGGACAACCCAGTGGCGTCCACAAAGCTTTGCTTGCAGTCGTGACACTTGTACGGCTTGGTGCTCGGGAGCCGGATGAGGGCAGCCATTTCGGTGGAAACCGGAGCAGGCTTGTCTGTGGTACAGGTTCTTCTCTGGGGCGGAGCAACCGCTGAGCTCTCTACGAGCAACCCGTCACCCTGGCAACCCAAGCCAAGCTTTTCTTCAAGGCGGATTTTCTTACAGGAAGCCGAAGCTGAGCTCTCTGGGAAGCAAAGCCCACAAGGGGACGACGTCTCTTCCGTGGGGATGCTGGGAACTTTGTCGCTGGAGCAGGTTCTCTGGTGCTTAACAAGTCCCGAAGGTTCCCTGAATGGCTCATCCTCCATTGGGTGGCTCAGTTGTGAGCCAGTGTGCGACTGTTCTCTGGAAGGCTCCTCTCCAAGGGGTGCAGTCCCAGGAGACCTTTCTCCACAGATGCTCTGGCGCACGTCACGATCTGAGTCAGAGCTGGACGGTTCTTTGGATTCAAGACACCCATGCACTTTGTCCTCTGTGTGGCTTTTCTGGTGGAGCATGAGGACTGTGGCATCCAAAGAGGCTTGGCCCCGCTTCACGCACCGGTGCCGTTTCCCGCGTATGTGTTCCCTCTGGTGCCTGGCGAGGGCTAGGGCGCCCCCAAGCTCTGGCCGCTGGTACAGTTTCTCCTGCACGTGGGCAATCTGGTGGCGGGCAAGGGCTGTGCCGTCGGAGAAGGCCTGTCTGCACTCGGAGCAAGCGTGAAGTCTTGTGGGACTCGGCTCCTCGTCCGCCAGACCTGAGCGACCCTCCCTGCAGCCTCCCCCAGATCCCACGCATTGTGCAAGAACATCCTCGCCTCCAGAATCCCCCTCACCATCCAGACACACGAGCGCCTTGGGGGATTCTCGGCCCAGCAGGAGCTCCGCGTGCTCCTCGCACGTCCCCTCCTCCTCGTGCAGCGAAAGTGCTTCCCTGTGCACAAAACTCTCCCCGCAGGCGCCACAGATGTGCAAGGAATGAGTCTCCTCGTGCTGCTCCAGCGCCAAGCTGTCCTCACAGTTCTGCCCGCAAACGCCGCATATCCACGATGCGTGACTTTCCCTGTGGCAGGCCAAGGCGCCGGCAGCCTCAAAACCCTTCCCACATTCAGTACATATATAAGAGGTGTGGCTCCCTCTGTGCCGCGCAAGCATCACGCTGTTTTGGAAGCGCTGCCCACATACATCACAAAGATGGGTGGCATGGCTCTTCTGATGCTGCGCCAGTGTGACAGCATCGTCACAGTCCAGCCCGCACACCAGACACGTCACGCTACTCTCTTTGTGCAGTCCTGGCACGTCGCTGTCCTCACAGTCCCTCCCACCGATGTGATCTTGCGGCTCCTTGGCCTCTTCTTTGCTTCCGCATTTCCCACTCTCCTCCTGCTGGTGGCGCTGCAGCTCGTCCTCCTGCGCAAAGCGCCGCCCGCAACCATGGCAGACATGGGGGCGCTCCTCCATGTGGATGCGCTGGTGGGTGATGAGGTTGGAACTCTGGGAGAAGCGCCGGCCACACTCCTCGCAGTGGTAGGGCCGCTCCCCCGTGTGCGTCCTCCGGTGCTGAGTGAGGTGTGAGCTACGGACAAAGGCCTTCCCGCAGTCGGGGCAGGCATAGGGCTTCTCGCCCGTGTGGATGCGCTGGTGGCGGATGAGGGTGGAGCTCATGCCGAAGCACTTGCCGCAATCGGCACAGCGGTAGGGCTTCTCGCCTCGGTGGATCCGGGAGTGCAGGGTCAGGTTGGAGGCCAAGGAGAAGCTCTGGCCGCATTCGCCGCAGGCGTAAGGGCGGCTCTCGCTGTGGCACCGCCGGTGGCGCTCCAGTGCCGAGCTGAGCCCAAAGGTCTTGCCGCAATCGGCGCACCGGTAGGGCTCGACCCCCATGTGAAGCCGCTGGTGTTTGACCAAGGTGGCGCCGTGTCCGAAGCGTTTGCCACATTCTTGGCACTGATAGGGTTTCTCCCCCGAGTGCGTGCGCTGGTGCTGGATCAGCTCCGAGCTCTGGATGAAGGTCTTGCCGCAGTCGTTGCAGCGGAAGGGCTTCTCCCCGGCGTGGATCTTGCGGTGCTTGACCAGGTTGGCACTCTGGGTGAACCCCTTCCCGCACTCGTCACATTTGAAGGGACGCTCGCCAGTGTGCGTGATCTGGTGTTGGATGAGGTCCGAGGACCGGTAGAAGCTTTTGGGGCACTCCGGGCAGCGGTAGGGTTTCTCGCCTGTGTGGCTGCGCTGGTGTTTGATGAGGTTGGTGCTCTGGGAGAAGGCCTTGCCGCACTCCCGGCAGACGTACGGCTTCTCGCCCGTGTGGGTCCGCTGGTGCTGGGCCAGGTTCGAGCTCCACGAGAAGGCCTTGCCGCAGTCGCCGCAGACGTAGGGTTTCTCGCCCGTGTGCGTCCGCCGGTGCTGGACCAGGTGGGAGCTCTGCGTGAAGGACTTGCCGCAGTCGGTGCACGTGTTCGGGCGCTCGCCGGTGTGGATACGCTGATGGCGCACCAGCTTGGACCACTGGCTGAACGCCTTGCCGCATTCACCGCAGGCGTAAGGGCGGTCGCCCTTTCCACGAGGCGGAGGTGCCGCTGGGGGTGGGGGTGTCGCCGGGTCCTCCTCGTCAATGCGGCTGTGGGTCTCAGGACATAACGCCCCCACCTCTTCTTCCAAGGGCTCGCCCTCCATTCCATCACCTGCGTGGAGAAGAAAGAGCAGGAAATAATCAGAGGCAGTCGTAAAGAAGTGACCTTTTCAGAGCTAAGGAACAGAACTACACAAGGTTGCTATATAACAAGTGAAACCTTGGTTCCATCTACCTCGGCAGTGCCCACTGAAATTGGCATCAGACTGCCAGGAAGAACAGTTTTCCCCAGGATCTGCTAGACAGGATCTTTTTAAATAGAGCCAGTTTGGTGTAGTGGTTAAGTGTGCAGACTCTAATCTGGGAGAACCGGGTTTGATTCCCCACTCCTCCACTTGCACCTGTTGATGTGACCTTGGGTCAGTCGCAAGCTCTGGCACAGCTGTCCTTGAAAAAGAGCAGTTTCTGTCAGAGTTCTCTCAGCCCCACCCACCTCACAGGGTGTCTGTTGTGGGGAGGGGAAGGGAAAGGAGTTTGTAAGCCGCTCTGAGACTCCTTTGGGTAGTGAAGGGCAGGGTATAAATCCAATCTCTTCTTCTTCTCCTCCTCTTATAATATGGGAGAACCGGGTTTGATTCCCAACTCCACTTGCACCTGGCTGGATGACCTTGGGCAAGCCGTAGTTCTGATAAGAGCTGTCCTTGAAAAAGAGCCATTTCTGTCAAGAGCTCTCTCAGCCCCACCCACCTCACAGGGTGTCTGTTGTGGGGAGGGGAAGGGAAGGGAGTTTGTAAGCCGCTCTGAGACACCTTTGGGTAGTGAAGGGCGGGGTATAAATCCAATCTCTTCTTCTTCTTCTTCTAAATAGTCTTACCAGGGACTGAACCGAAGAACCTTTAGCATGCAAAGCATAACCCCTGAGCTACAGCCCTGCCATGAGAAGCTACCTGTGATCCCGACATGACCTCAAGAGGACTAGAAACCGGCTGTTCACCCAGATCCAGACTGGCTGACAAGCTACGGGGCACTTTCGCCTTCTCCTTGTTCCATGCCAAAGACTGTCCTCAGTGCATCATGACTGCAGCTGTCCCCAGATGCCCATCTGACAGTCGTCTCAAATCTAGCGGGATTAATAGGTGTTGGGTATGAATGCGAGCGAGAAAGAGGGAACTGCTGATCTTCTGTCCTTCTTCCCCAAGGAGATCCCCCCCACGCTTCCCCACCTGCATGCAGGTCCCTGGGGCTCCTATCAGCGGTCTGGGGCCATCAGTGTCATGTATCTCTGGGATGCCAGAGAGCCAGTTAGGTGTAGTGGTTAAGTGCGCGGACTCTAATCTGGGAGAACCGGGTTTGATTCCCCACTCCTCCACTTGCACCTGCTGATGTGACCTTCCGTTTCAAAGCCGAAGAGCCAGTGCTGTCTGAAGACGTTTCCGTGGTCATGTGGCCAGCATGACTAAACACCAAGGCGCACGGAACGCTGTTACCTTCCCACCAAAGTGGTACCTATTTATCTACTTGCAATTTCTTGCTTTCGAACTGCTAGGTTGGCAGGAGCTGGAACTAGAGACGGGAGCTCACTCCGTCATGTGTCACACTCAGGTCTCGAACTGCTGAACTATATGCTACAGTGCCCCAAAATTAGGTGCACAAAATCTTGCGCAAACAGAAATGCAAGTGGGGGATACGCGAAGCACACGCAGCTACCAAGGTCTTTGTCTTGCATTTCTGATTGTGCAAGAGATCTAAGCACAAGTGGAAACATGGGGCTGGATCCAAACCCTAGTTCCCGGAGGCAACCTTTGCCCATACGAATGTATCTGTCACACACCTCACCCAGTTAAGGTCTCCCCCACCGCTTTTCAGACTTCACCAGTCTCTGAGCTCTGCCTTCACGTTTCTACTCCTCCCTCCCCAACTGAATTCTGCCACCAGTTCCCCCAACTCTGAGCCAGTGCTTTGATTTGAGCGAACAGTAGGCAAAGATCCCTAGACATACCCAGGGGAGCATCGGCTTCTGAGTCCTCCTGCATAACTTCTCCGTTCAGGCTTTCTGGTGTCCCAGGACGCAACGGAAGGCATCAAGGCTCCGTTTTAGGGTCAACGTCATCTGAAAACAAGAAACACTCTTACTCTCAGGTGGTGAAATAATAATAATAATAATACCTTTCTATTTATTGATCGCTCAATCCTGCAGAGCTGCTGGCTCTGAGTGATTTACAGTTACACAAGTTTCACAAGGGACTAACAATGATTCATAGGGGTAAGGGAGGATAACATGTAATTCTTTAAATCGCACACGTTTGCAGCCGACGGGGATTTTGTTCAGCTGTAGGCTTCGGACGTGTTCCGGATGGCATTCACTCCGGCTTGGCTTGATGACGTTGGTTCTTCCAGGACTGCTTTGAGTCGTTGCGCCGCACTGCCACCGCCTGGCTGGAATGGCCCATCACAGGCTTCTTAATGCCGAAGAGGTCTTTTTTCCAGGCTTACGAGCTGGACATTCCATTCGCCGGCTAACACCTCCCCTACGGGGGTTTAGTATGCCCACCCTCTCTAAGGAGAAATCATCCCTCCACTCCTAGTCGAGCTTTTTGAGAAACATCGGTAAGGAGCACTGTGACACGTTTCCGAAAGGAGGGAAGATCTGACTGTTGGGTCAAAGAGAATCCCCGCACATCAACCATGCCAGCTCTGCTTTGGCCATGACCAGCCATTTCAGGGCAACGCAACAAACATAAAGGGACACACTCAGCAGGTGGATCAAGATGGGCAGCCGTGTTAGTCTGTCTGTAGCAGCAGAAAAGAGTCAAGGTTCCAGTAACACCTTAAAGACTAACAACATTTGTGGTAGGGTAGGAGCTTTCGTGAGTATGTGAAGAAGTGAGCAGCGACTCACAAAAGCTCCTGCCCTGCCACAAATTTTGTTGGTTTTTAAGCCGCTACTGGACTCTTGCTCTTTTCTGCTACACTCAGTAGCGGCAGCCCAGCAAGCAAGAACTGGGCCATAGAGCGAAACGCACTCCACTTCCTGTTCCTGTCTGAAAGCTGCCCTGTTGGATCGAAGCAGTCGCTCTGTACTCCCACGTCTCTATGGTGAAAGTCCTATCTGTCTGCCACTGGCTGTCCTCTAAACATCCACGTTCAGAGGAAAGAAGGAGCATCCAGCTTTATCGAGATGGAGACTCCTTATATCCACCACCTCTTTACTTGGAAGTAGTGGCACAGTCCACTTGAGCAGCTGCTAGCTGCTGCTTCCCCTCTCTGCCATAATGGTACATGCAAATGCAGAGCCAGCCTCCAACATCTTGATCCTTTTGTGCCGTACCAGAGAGCCAGTGTGGTGTAGTGGCTAAGAGCAATGGACTCTAATATGGGAGAACCAGGTTCGATTCCGCACTCCTCCACATCCAGCCAGCGGGGTGACATTGGGCCAGTCACAATTCTTTTAGGGCTCTCTCAGCCAAAAAAATAAAGTCTATCCCGCCACCTAGTGGTGAATACTGCTAAAAGAGCTAGAACTTTAGACTGCCAGACAATCCTAGGATCTCCTAGCTATACTACACACTATGCCATATGATAATAACTATGATGATAGCCCATAGAAAAACCTGTAATGGAAAAATGGGATCCTATATTGGAATTCTTAGCAACAGAAGATTTCTTACCCTCCTCTTGGCAGCAATTTAGGGAATGGATGTAAACCCTCTCCATGTCGGGCAGCAAAAATAAAACTAATTCGCTAGTTGTGTATCCATCACACACCTCACCCAGTTAAGGTCTCCCCCACCGCTTTTCAGACTTCACCAGTCTCTGAGCTCTGCCTTCACATTTCCACTCCTCCCTCCCCAACTGAATTCTGCCAACAGCCACCAGTTCCCCCAACTCTGAGCCACTGCTTTGTTGAGCGAACAGTAGGCAAAGATCCCTAGACATACCCAGGAGAGCATCGGCTTCTGAGTCCTGCTGCATAACTTCTCCGTTCAGGCTTTCTGGTGTCCCAGGACGCAACGGAAGGCATCAAGGCTCCGTTTTTAGGGTCCACGTCATCTGAAAAGAAGAAACATTCTTACTCTCAGGTGGTGAAATAATAATAATAATACCTTTCGATTTATTGATCACTCAATCCTGCAGAGCTGCTGGCTCTGAGCGATTTACAATTACACAAGTTTCACAAGGGACTAACAATGATTCATAGGGGTAAGGGAGGACAACATGTAATTCTTTAAATCGCACGCGTTTGCAGCTGACAGGGATTTTGTTCAGCTGTAGGCTTCAGATGTGTTCCGGACGGCTTCACTTCGGCTTGGCAGTTCTTCCAGGACTGCTTTCAGTCGTTGCGCCGCACTGCCACCGCCTGGCCGGAATGGCCCATCACAGCCTTCTTAATGCTGAAGAGGTCTTTTTTCCAGGCTTCCGAGCTTACGAGCTGGACATTCCATTCACCGGCTAACACCTCCCCTACGGGGATTTTGTGTGCCCACCCTCTCTAAGGAGAAATCCAATCCTAGTCGAGCTTTTTGAGAAACTTCGGTAAGGAGCACCGTGACACGTTTCCGAAAGGAGGGAAGATCTGACTGTTGGGCCAAAGAGAATCCCCGCACATCGGCCACGCCAGCTCTGCTTTGGCCATGACCAGCCATTTCAGGGCCAGGCAACAAACATTAAGGGACACACTCAGCAGGTAGATCAAGATGGGCAGCCGTGTTAGTCTGTCTGTAGCAGCAGAAAAGAGTCAAGGGTCCAGTAACACCTTAAAGGCTAACAAAATTTGTGGTAGGAGGAGCTTTCGTGAGTATGTGAAGAAGTGAGCAGCGACTCACAAAAGCTCCTGCCCTGCCACAAATTTTGTTGGTTTTTAAGCCGCTACTGGACTCTTGCTCTTTTCTGCTACACTCAGTAGCGGCAGCCCAGCAAGCAAGAACTGGGCCATAGAGCGAAACGCACTCCACTTCCTGTTCCTGTCTGAAAGCTGCCCTGTTGGATCGAAGCAGTCGCTCTGTACTCCCACGTCTCTATGGTGAAAGTCCTATCTGTCTGCCACTGGCTGTCCTCTAAACATCCACGTTCAGAGGAAAGAAGGAGCATCCAGCTTTATCGAGATGGAGACTCCTTATATCCACCACCTCTTTACTTGGAAGTAGTGGCACAGTCCACTTGAGCAGCTGCTAGCTGCTGCTTCCCCTCTCTGCCATAATGGTACATGCAAATGCAGAGCCAGCCTCCAACATCTTGATCCTTTTGTGCCGTACCAGAGAGCCAGTGTGGTGTAGTGGCTAAGAGCAATGGACTCTAATATGGGAGAACCAGATTCGATTCCGCACTCCTCCACATGCAGCCAGCTGGGTGACATTGGGCCAGTCACAATTCTTTTAGGGCTCTCTCAGCCAAAAAAATAAAGTCTATCCCGCCACCTAGTGGTGAATACTGCTAAAAGAGCTAGAACTTTAGACTGCCAGACAATCCTAGGATCTCCTAGCTATACTACACACTATGCCATATGATAATAACTATGATGATAGCCCATAGAAAAACCTGTAATGGAAGTTCACCTTGACTACACAGTAAGGAATACAGCCTTCATCACACAGCACTCATAACGACAGAAAACTCCTATCACATGCCCACACTATGCTTCTTGTATTGTCAGAAATGCCCAAGACTGAGAAGGTCAGTGTTGACATGGGATCGAACCATAGCATGACCTACTCCCATATGGCAACAGGATTTCAAACCAATTTTTCCCCTTAAAGTGGCATTTACACTCATGTCATTTGAGTTACTGAGCATCATCTAAAGGTAAAATGTCATGCAAATATGCAAGACATCTGTTAAAGCCACAGAGAAGAGAAGAAGAGATGGGATTTATACCCTGCCCTTCACTCGGAGTCTCAGAGCAGCTTACAAACTCCTTTCCCTCCCCCTCCCCACAACAGACACCCTGTGAGGTAGGTGGGGCTGAGAGAGCTCTTTCAGGAACAGCTCTGACAAAACTATGGCTTGACCAAAGTCACATTGGTTTGCTCTGGAGCCATCCTTCCTGAGCCAAGACAAAAATGTGTGAGCTGGAGGCTAAAAAAACCTGTGAGCTAGCTCACACTGACTCCGCCTAGAGGGAACACTGATGATGATGATGAGGAGGAGCTGGACCATTATTATTTCGCACCTGGGGCCGCATGGAGGAGACTGAAACAAGTACCTGGAAGTAGAAGAGACACGGCAAAGCCACCACTAATTTCCTGTTTCTGATGGAGCCAGCCGTTGAAAGCCAGAAGGGGGTGACCAGGCATCTGGATACACACCAGAACCTTCACCAGAGCTGGCCCAAGGGGTTTTTGCAGCCCAGGCAGGGAGGGTGCCTGCTGCCCTCACCCGCCCCGCCCCCCGTGCTGCGGGGGAGAAGCCAATAGCAGCCCGCCTGCACTCCCCCTTCCCTGCGCCCCTCTCCTAGCCCAACACCCCCATAGGGAGGTGGGAGTGGGAAGGAAGCCTAGGGCCCGCCTGCTCCACTCCTGCAACAGGGGGCACAAGAGGACGCGTAGGCTCCGCGCGGGCCACCCACCAGGGCCGGGGTGCCTCCCTGGACTGCCGCTTCCAGTTGTTCATCTCATTCAAGGACAGCAGCTCGAAAGTCACATACGGAATTCCGGCCCCGTGAGAGTTGATGCCTGACGCTGCAACTGCTCACCCTCGAGACAAATTGGGACCATCAGAGGACTTCACAGCCATGGGACTTCTCGGGAGACCTCTTGCGGGAGGGGGGACAGCCCGGGCCCCCCTCCTACACTTCCAAAGCGGCTCTCCAGCAAGACCAGCTGTAGACGAAAACTGAAGCAAGTGGCTGGTGTTATGGACGACACAGCGCCCTCTATAGGTCGGGGTTTGGGACAAACATACACCTCCCTTAGGAGCTGCGGTGGCTCAAGTGGTTAAGACGCTGAACTGCAGGCTGTGGAAGGTCAGTAGTTCAGCAGTTCGAGACCCGGGTGCCGCATGACGGAGTGAGCTCCCATCTCTAGTTCCAGCTCCTGCCAACCTAGCAGTTCAAAAGCAAGAAATTGCAAGGAGATAAATAGGTACTGCTTCAGTGGGAAGGTAACAGCGTTCCGTGCACCTTGGTGTTTAGTCATGCCGGCCACAGGACCACGGAAACGTCTTCGGACAGCGCTGGCTCTTCGGCTTGGAAACGGAGATGAGCACCGCAGCCCTAGAGTCAGATTCGACTGGCTTTCGAGCAAGGGAGCCTTTACCTTTACCTTTACACCTCCCCTGGTAGGAGGGCTGGCCTGGCTTAAGACTCTCGATTCCCATGAGAACCGCCACCAGCTCCTCAACCCCACAGCAGCCGGAGTTTACTTCTCTTTCCCATCCTTTTCCCTGCTTCGTTATTGGTGGTGGGAAGCGCCAATCAGGTTGCAGCCGATTCATGCATGGCAACCCTGTCATGTTTTCAAGGCAAGAGACATTCAGAGGCGGCTTGCCATCACGGCCTCTCTCCGCGTAGCAGCCCCGGACTTCCCCGGTGGTCTCCCATCCAAGCACTAACCAGGGCCGACCCTGCTTAGCTTCTGAGATCTACTGAGACCGGGCTAGCCTGAGCCACCCAGGTCAGGGCGTCTGTGTTAAGACGCCGCCGTTTCTCCAGCCTCGACTAAACGGTTCGCACATGCATCAGCCTCCTTTTCCGTCTCTGCCGTCTTCCCTCTCTCCTCCCCCTTTGGTTTTTTTTTTTAAACTTCAAAGCTAATTGCCGGCTGCAGCCAAGGAACACTCTCGCCACCCCCACCTGCCTCGAGGCCGGTTTTTGCACTGTTGACTCAGACTCCCAAACCGGCTTCGCCCCAGGCCAAGCAGAGTCAAGAGGAGAGGTGTGGAGCACCAGGCAGGGGAGCGTGCCAGGCTCCAGATGGCACCTTGGCATTTCTGTGGCAAAGGAACGGAGCACGGCGCCCATTTCCCTGCACTGTCATGCTTAAGACCAGATACACACGAATGCCTATGAAGCTGCCTTATACCGAATGCCGTCGGTCTATCAAAGTCTATCTAGCTGGAGACGCCAGGGACTGAACCCTTACCTCCTGCATGCGCCGCTTACAGCCCCGACAAGCAGAGATTCTGTGCAAAGAGAAAACATACGAGAAACCAACTGAAACCTTAGCAGCACAGAATTGTTGGGATGACTCCTGGACAATGCTCCTTCTAAGATGTGGAGTCTTGTGAGCAAAAATTCTACTTTGCTACTGGCATGAAAGCCGTGAGCGAGCGATTTGGCTCCTGCATCAATTCGTTTGCTCTGGGGCCCCCCTTCCTGAGCTAAGGCAAAAATGTGTAAACCGGAGGCTAAACAACCGTGAGCTAGCTCACACTAACTCAGCTTAGAGGGAACACTGCTCCTGAACCATCATATATATGTTTTCTTTTGGTTTCACCATACACCCTTCCTTCAACCATATCAACATAATTGGTAAGCACTGCATGCAGCAGCAACAAACAACACCTATAAGCAACAATAATACCCCCAACTGAAGAATATTTTTAAGCCAAGCAGAATCTGGCAGCCAATTAGTTAGCCAGTCCCAAGGGTCCTCCCTGAATACCCTCACAGTTGTCCCTAATGGATTGTTTACATTCCTCCAGATGCTGTTCAGTACTCTCATTCAAATTACGAAACGTTAAATGGCACTGTGATCCAACCACCTTGCAGAATCATAGCAAAGATATGCACTGAAAGGGCCGGTCCTGCTTCTGACTTTACCTAGAGGCAGTAGCTCAACTGAACCTTTCCAGCTGATCTCTATCAAGTGCCACCTACCCGAAAGATTCAAGTACGGACACAAAGTCCTCTCTGGTTCCCAGGTATCTGAAAGAGGCATACACACAGAGACTTTGCAAACAAGAGCAATAATCCTGCTCTCGGAGGAGACACATTCCAGTGGGTTGAGGCTACCTTCACAGTCCGCCCTGCCACAAAAATTAATCAAAATGATCTGGCGGAAGTGGGCAGGCTCCAGAGGGCTTAGAAATACCAGCAGGGGTCATTTTGTAGAAAAAGAGGTGCAGGAGCTTAGAAGAAGAAGAAGAGATTGGATTTATACCCCACCTTTCACAACCCAAAGGTGTCTCAGAGCAGCTTACAAACTCCTTTCCCTTCCCCTCCACACAACAGACACCCTGTGAGGTAGGTGGGGCGGAGAGAGCTCTGACAGAAACTGCTCTTTTTCAAGGACAGCTCTTGTCAGAACTATGGTTTGACCAAAGTCATCCAGCCAGGTGCAAGTGGAGGAGTGGGGAATCAAACCCGGCTCTCCCAGGTTAGAGTCCACGCACTTAACCACTACACCAAACTGGCTCATAACTCATTTGCATATGCCACACCCCCTGACATCACCGGAAGTGTGTCAGAAGGCAACACCCACCGCTCAGGTTCCACTGGACTGTTTTGGATTGCTAGCTATTTGGGGGGGGGAACGTGCAGATCTGTCCTCACAGAGGCGGGAGAGCTTATAAACTTGGTCTTAAAGGTGCCACTGGACTGTTTTGGACCGGGGGGCCAGGGGGAGCTCTGCAACTTACCTGGCTGCTTCTTGCTCTGACTGAGGGCTGCTGGGAGCAGGGGGTGGGGCTTGTTGCATGTGCCCGCCCCCTGGGCTCTTTACTGCCCGAGCTCCGCTCCTGTGCGCTCCTGCAGGAAATGGCCCCTGAATACCAGAGGCCTTCACACTGACAGCTCAGCATAGCACCTGTACAATGCAGCGGCTGGAGTGCTGGGCTAGGCCCATGGAGACTCAGGTTCAAATCCCTGTTTGCCACATAACTCATTCTCTCTCAGCTTATCCTACCTTGCAGGGTTGTTGCGAGGATAAAATGGATTAGAGGAGAGTCATGTATGCTACCCTGAGCTCCTAGAGGAAGGGGGGGGAGAGATATACTAAACAGCTGGATAAACAACACAAGTGCATTGTTGTTGATCACAAGCAAAGAACATATAAACAGACGAAGTCAAAACGCAAGGGTGAAGTCAAAGCAAAATGCAATTACGTTCATTCAGGTTTTGTTTGGGTTGGGGAATGAAGACTAAGTAATCGGCTTCCTCCATCTCCACAACGCTTCCATAGAACCCAAGAGAACCCCTTTCCGTTGCATTCTGCATTTAATGTGGCTGATGGTTAAGAATGCAACTTCTTAACAAATCTTGTTGGTAGGAAGCAGAGGAAATGGACAAGGACCACTGAAGGATTCTACGGGGAGAGGATGCACCTGACGCCCAGCCAAGCACCTACCTAACGGGCAAACCTTTTCAGCGAGGGGGTTCGGTCCGCGTCGCACGGATCCTCCTCCCGCAACCGCTTCGGAAGAGGCACACGATCGTCCCCACCTCCAGCCCCGGCCATCCTCATGCGTTAAGATCAGGGCAAGCTCACTCACTCACTAGGCGAACGCCTAGAGCGGGCTGGCCCTTAGGGGTGCCAAGCTGCCCAGTATTCTGGGAGTTTCTTGATTATTTGTGTTTTACATTCTTCCTAAAATGCATTTATCTTTTAAAATTGGTGGGCGCATGGGGGGCGCCAGAAGGGATCCTCGCCTAGGGTGCAAAATAAGCTGGGGCCGGCCCTGAGATCAACGTGACCTTCTCCTCCCACATTCAGAATCAGGCCCTTCGCCTCAGCTGGAAAGGTGCCTCCATCGCCCGAGGGGCGAGACCCACACAGCGTGGGGAGGAAAACGCACCCGTGCTCGGCCACCTCCGCGATGCCCCCTTCCAACCAACCC